GACTGGGATATTTCACTCAGCATAATGTTCTCCAGAGTCAACCATTTTGAATAATATTGCATGAGTTCCTTGTTTTTTAATGCAGCATAGTATTCCACTGTGCGAATATACCACAGCTTCTCTAGCCATTCGTTTGTTGATGGGAAGGTATATTAATATAAGATGAATGGTCAGCAAAAAGAGGAAGACCCTTAGTGAGATGGACTCACAGTGACTGCAACAAAGAGCTTAGACAGTTACGATGGTGAAGGTTACCCGGGCCCAGAGTCCCATTTCACTGCACATGGGGTCACGATGTGTCAGGCAGCAGCACCTGGCAACAGCGTTTTCATGTACAGTGAGATCTTCAGGAGAAGAGTAGGTACATCCCAGCGACCAGAAGCTAGCAACACTCAGTTCTACAGAACAAACTGGAGAGAGAAAGGTGGGCCTGTCAGGATAAGAGTCCTGGAGTGGTACAAATGGTTAGGCGCTAACCTACTAACAAGAAAGTTGCGGTTTAAATGCACCCAGAGGCACCTCAGAAGAAAGGCTACCAGCTTCCACAAGATCACAGCTGGCGAGAACCTTCTGGAACATGGTTATACTCTGATACACAACAGAGGGTCACCACAAGTTGGGATCGACTTATGGGCAACTGGTTTGGGTCTTGTTTGGTGCCATCGAGTTGTAGACGACTCACAGCGACCCTATGAACGAAAGGCTTGAGCACTGTTCATGTTTTTGGAGGCAAGCCATTCCGGAAGTGGATGCCGCTCCTGCTTCCAGGCTTGTTTTAGTCGGGAAGCTCCAGCAAACACTGTCCGCCATGGGTACCCATTACCATGATTGGCACATCAGTGTCACAGTGGTCAGCATCATAGCAACTACGAGTTACTTCTGTACAGCAACGCACAGACCAGTGCTATACCACCTAGAAGGATGTTTGACAGGAAAACAATTTGAACCTGGCCTGAGGGCTGCAGATTAAAATCACTTACCTTTGGCTTGGTAACATAACTTTCTGTCCACTAGGCCAATGTAACTCTCTCTCTGTCGTCGTTGGGTTGGGTCTTAGTATGCCTTTAATCCCTGATATTTGCTAATCTCCGCTTAAAGTCTGCTCGCTCGGCATTCCCATTCAGGTTCTCTCAGACCTGGGAGGTGTGTACGAGGAAGCTCAGGTCACCCGTTCAGTGTTTCCAGTCCCAACATCACCTTCCCAAGTTCTTATCCTTGCTGAGTACCACTGGTACTATTATTTGCTTAAGGTTTCCTTTAAATGAACTGGCTATTTTTTTTTCCCTTTCCTAAGTTTTTTTAAAAGATAGCTTTACAGAGTAGTGTGTGTAGAAAACCTCACCATAAATAGAAGCAAGCCGTAAAGGCCGCGAAAATCAAGCAGTGTACTAAATCCTGGCTGGTTGCTGTTGGCACCTGAAGAGGCCCTGAACTGAGATTAGATTTTTGGCTCTTTTCTAAAACTGGAGAAGTGTTGAAAGAGTGCTGAAGAAACAAACCAAAAAAAAGCACCAGCTTGAGAGTGTCTTAGCTTCGAGTCAGAAAGACTGAGACTCAGCAATGCTATTGAAGGGGCATCATGTCCTGCCTGGGATTCACTGGGCTTTTATTTACCCTTGGAGGGAAAACAGGGACAATGATTGTACATGTTAAGTCACTGCTGACCTTGTTGAATGCCTCTGAGTCCTGCAGGGTGACTGGATTGCCCAAGGTCACACAGGGAGGTAAAAGCTGACTTGGGGACATGCGCCCTTGTTCTCTGTGCAGTTCTGGCTGTGGGCCTGTCTGAAGCTTGCAATAACCTGACCCACTGCATGTTCCGTGGCTAGATTGGAACCAGACTCCGAGCTGGGCCTGAGGTTAGCTCAGGCTGATCTCTTGGGCTCTGGAGGGGCTGTCAGCAGAGCCAGCAGCCCTATGGGGAGGGTATGCTCCCTAGAAGGGGCAGAGAAGGTCAAGGCCCCCGGGGACTGAAGCTCATCTCTGTCTTTCTCTCTGTGCTGCCATGGGCCTGGGTCCTTTCAGGCGAGCCTCAGGTAAGGTGCTGGGGTTCCCTAGCCACTGTCCCTGCAGCTCCCACCTTCCTGGGCCCCCAGCCCTGCAGGTGGAGGGTGGGAAGGAAAGGCCTCTGGGGACCCTCGGACCCCCTGCTTTGACACTCACTTCCCCTGCAGCTCTACACCCTCGCCGTGATGGGCCCAGGGCCTGCTGACCGCCAGCCGGCCCAGATCTCCCGCCGCTACTCGGACTTTGAGCAGCTGCACCGAAGCCTGCAGCGCCAGTTCCGGGGCCCCATGGCCGCCATCTCCTTCCCTCGGAAGCGCCTGCGCCGGAACTTCACAGCAGAGACCATTGCCAGGCGCAGCCGGGCCTTCGAGCAGTTTCTGGGCCACCTGCAGGCAGTGCCCGAGCTGCGGCATGCCCAGGCCCTGCAGGACTTCTTCGTGCTGCCCGAGCTGCGGCGGGCACAGAGCCTCACCTGCACGGGCCTCTACCGGGAGGCACTGGCGCTCTGGGCCAATGCCTGGCAGCTGCAGACCCAGCTGAGTACCTCCTCTGGCCCAGACCGCCCCCTGCTCACCCTGGCTGGGCTGGCTGTGTGCCACCAGGAGCTGGAGAACCCCGGGGAGGCCCAGGCCTGCTGCGAGCGGGCCCTGCAGGTGCTGGGGGACGGAAACCCTCACCCTTTGCTGGCGCCCTTCCTGGAGGCACATGTCCGGCTCTCCTGGCGACTGGGCCTGGACAAACGGCAGACAGAGGCCCGGCTCCAGGCCCTGCAGGAGTCAGGCCTCACCCCCATGCCGCCCCCCAGTCTCAAAGAGCTGCTTATCAAGGAGGTGCTGGACTAACGGTTGCCAGGGTCACCGTGGGGAAGGACAGTCCCAGGAGAAGGGGCCTGGTGAAGACAGGGACCAAGGCTAGGAGGCTGCAGGGGGTGCTGGAAGCTCCACAGAGAATCTGCAGTCACCAAAGAACGTGTGCTGCTTCTGTCCTACTGGGGTCAGAAATGAGCGTTCGCCACGCTGACCTGGATGGTGCCACGAAGAAGTCGCAGGGTGGCCTCTCCAGATTAAGGTGCAGCCAGGAGCTGTGCTCAGGTCGGGGACACTGACCCTGGAGTCCTGAGTGGAGGAAGGGCTGTCCTGGCCCTGGGAAATTAAAGGCCATCTTGTTCCAGTGGTTCCAGTCTCTTTATTAGATGCCAGCAGCCGAAGGCCCCGCCTTGTACTGTAACTCTTACTTCAGGAGTGCAGTGGCAGGGAGGTCCTCGAATGAAGGCCCAGGCCAAGCTGGTGCCTTAGGCTAGAGCTTGCTCTCCGAGACCAGGGGCTTCACTCGGATCACTCCCTCCTGGGCACAAGACACAGCCAGGACCCCGTCCTGACGCCACAGCCGCCCATGGACCAGTCCCCGGGAGCCACCTGTGGGAGAGGAGGGGGGGGGTGACAGCAGCCAAGCATTGCTGAAGGGACTCGCCACCCCAAGCCAGAGCACTGACTGTCAGCTACTCCCCATCGCCCCTTTTGAGTTTCCTCTGCTCCATCACTGGGGGTGGCCCCTCCCAAGGGAACCCTGCAAGACTCCCCATAAGCATTTGCACATTATCTGCTGGCTGCCTCAAAAAGATCCCAGCGGGAAGGGCTCCGTCCAGCAGATCCACCTACCTCTGACCACATTGTGTCAGGAAGCCCATCCGCTCCCTTTATAAGCTCTAACCAGGTCCTCCAGGGCTGGTAAGTCAAAAGCTGCCCACACCAGGGGAGGAAAGGGCCATGAGTCCCAGAGTCTCTCTTGCTGTCTCTTGGGCCTAAGGTAGGGGTTTGTGAAGGGAACCTCTGGTCTCCCCGAGCCGTACTTAGCACATTCAGTTCTCCCAGCAGCTCAGTGAAGCAGGTGTGTGTGGCTCCATTTCCCAGGCAGTGACATTGTCTCTGGGGCTTGTGACCTGGGCCCTGAGGACCAGGGCCATCCCGCACCCCTGACTTGGGCTGTTCACTGGTATTTTAATCCTCTTGTTACCCAGAGAGCTGCCCTTTCCCGAATATAAAGAGTCCTCCAGGGTTTGTACCCATTTCACAGAGAAGGCTTTTCTTCATTGCAAGGAGATCTTCTTGGAAAGGCACCCAGGGTTCTGAGCAGAGTTGCTGATGAATAAGTATGGATTTCTCTCCCATACAAGTACTCTGTCTGGTGAGTCCCTGACCCCCAGCCAGGCTACTCACAATCACTGAGTGAACGTTGGAAAAATGAAGTTTTAGGGACCTTATCTGAGACCTGGTAAGGCAGAGCTGAGGGTCCCCAAGTCATCCTTCAAGGTTAAGTGCTGTCAAGTACAACTCACAGAGGCCCTATGAACAATACATCTGAACTGTGTCCTATCCTGCGCCATCCTTGTCCTCACATATTCGAGTCCACTGCTGAAGTCCATCTTGTTGAAGGTCTTCCTCTCTCTGACCCTCCCAACTGAAGGGCTGGGAGCTGGGAATCTGTTTTGTGGGGTTTTTGCAATCTATTTTGAAAAAGCTCCCCAAGCGGTGGTCTGATGAGTCACCACAGCTCTTACGCAACCCTCATCTACCTGGGGGGAGAAACAAGCTCAGAGAGGCAACAGGATTTACCAGTGACCACACAGAATCGTGCGATCCTGGGACGAGAACTGGGTCTCGGAATCATGTTTTAGAGAAATTTAGTGCAAGAGTGTCCCATCCTTAAGCTTTTCACCCTGTCCTTTTGTTAAAGGCTGGCAAAGCTGGGGCAAGGGCAGGAGAGGCTGTGACCTGCACAGTGTCCAAAGGAAAAGGGCAGCAGCATCTGAGAAACCTGGCTCCTTGATCCCCACCACAGTCAGTGTCCCAGCCCCATGGGGCCCTGCACTCACCAGCCCAGGGGCTCTCACACTCGTACAGCATCCAGTGGTCAGCTCGGAAGGGGGCGTGGAACCACATGGAGTGGTCCAAGGAGACCATAAAGTGCACCTTGTGCTGCCACTGGTGGGGCAGCAGCGCTGTGCCCAGGAAGGCGTAGTCCGAGATATAGGCAGCCACACAGCAGTGCATCTTCATGTCGCCCTCCCCTGCAACAGGTCCTGGCCTCATTAGCAGCCCTGGGCTCCTGGGCACTGCGCCTCAGGACCAGCAGGGGCAGGGGGAGGAAGACACTGCGTGCACCAACACAGACGTCACTGCACAAGGACAGCTAACTGGAGTGTGCAGACAGGAGGGATCGAGGGAAGAAGAGTAAAGGACTGAGACGCAGCCTTCACTCACCCCTCTTACCACCTGGGCCTTGTCCAGCTTTGGACCTGGAGAACTGCAGTGCCGTACCCCCGCCATCCCCAGAAAGGACTTCCATTGGGACCTTCCCCAGTCTCCTCAAGCAGAGGGCTAAGACAGCCTTGGAGAGAGACGGGCCAACTTCCCCATCCACAGGTTAGGAAACTGAGTCCCAGCGAGGGAAGCAGGAGCCCAGGGTCCCACAGGGGCCTCTTACCGATATGGCCTCGGGCTCGCACCCAGAACATCTGTTTGGGCTCCAGGCGCTGCAGCTGGTTCAGGGTGGGTGGGTTTATGATCCTGATCTCGATTGGCACATCCTGAGCAGCTATTCGGTTCAGGCCCACTCGGTACCTCTCGTGGAGGTTAGGATCCCTGAAACGAAGGGCAAGTTTCTCATCTGTGTTGCCTTTTCTGACTCCCTGCTTCCCCCACTGGACTCCTGGCTGGTCCCCAAACCTCCCCTGAAGCAGCTGAAGGAGTAAAGTTCTAGAACCCCTTCTTGGCCACATAGGAGCCTTGTGCAAGTGAGCAATCTCTCCAGTCTTATCTTTCCAGCTGCACTATGTAGAGAGTCGTCCCCAGCTCCTCACAAGCACGGTGAAGACCACAGCCCATCATGGCTGCAAGGCACACCCTTGAGGGGCACATTCAGAGCATGTCACGTCCACTCATTCCTCCCACGACCCTGTGAGGCAGGCACCCTCGTCGCCTGTCAGAAGCACACAGACCTCAGGAAGTAGAGGGGGCAGCCTTGGATCCTAAGAGTTCACACTCACCCCATCAATCTTTCACAGGATAATAGCCGCCCAACCTGGACCGTGTTACCTCACGCTGAACAGGTGGGAACACTGCCTTCCCCGGAGGGAGAGCATCATTTCCCTAGAAGGCCCTTCACCACAGGAATGACCACCCTTAGTGCTCTCGGGGGTGACCGCTTTCATGCCGAGCCTCAAAAGCCCCGTCTCTGTGTGATGGAATGTTCTAGATCTGCTCTGTCCACTGTGGCAGCCATCAGCTGTGGGAAGCCAAACTTCATACCAAATACTACAAATGTATAAGTTAGGATTTCTCTTGTGACAGATCACAGAAAATGAGCTGTTTGTTCCCTGCACACAAGAGACAGCTAGGGCCCCCCCTACAGAGAAAGTTGTTACTACGTGTGAAATACTTCCTGAGCTAGAGCATTAGGCTGACAAGAGAGAAAAATTTGGCTTCATTTACAAGAAATTCTTTTTATGATTTGCTTCCTCTGATTATCAATAAATACACAGAGAAGCATGGCTTGGGCCCGTCAGTCGAGAACTACTGGCCCCCTGTTTTATGCTCTCTGTTCTATCTCATTCCTGGATGTCTGTCTCATTATTAATAATTATAAAATATCTGTCGGTGCCAGGGCGGCGCGTGGTCCACACCGAGCGACTGCGACTTGTTGGCTTTACGCTCAGGTCCAGGATGACGGATTGGGACCCAGCCACGCCTGCGGTGGCCGAGACCCCGGACATCAAGCTCTTCCGGAAGTGGAGCACGGACGACGTGCAGATCAACGACATTTCCCTGCAGGACTACACTGCAGTGAAGGAGAAGTATGCCAAGTACCTGCCCCACAGTGCAGGGTGCTACGCCGCCAAGCGCTTCCGCAAGGCCCAGTGCCCCATCGTGGAGCGCCTCACCAACTCCATGATGCACGGTCGCAACAACGGCAAGCAGCTCATGACTGCGCACTGTCAAGCATGCCTTCGAGATCATCCACCTGCTCACTGGCGAGAACCCTCTGCAGGTTCTGGTGAATGAATAGTGGCCCCCGAGAGGACTCAGCACGTATTGGGAGAGCTGGAACAGTGAGGCAGCAAGCTGTGGACGTGTCTCCACTGCGCCGTGTCAACCAGGCCATCTGGCTGCCGTGCACAGGTGCTCGTGAGGCCGCCTTCCGGAACATCAAGACCATTGCTGAGTGCCTGGCCGATGAGCTCACTAATGCAGCCAAGGGCTCCTCCAACTCCTATGCCATCAAGAAGAAGGACGAATTGGAGCGCGTGGCCAAGTCCAACTGTTGATCTCCTGGCTGTGACCCAATAAACCTGTCTGCCCTTTGGGGTGGCCCCACCAAAAAAAAAATTTACCCTCAGTCTGCTACAATTAGCCTCTGTGGCAACTGAGCTCTTGAGCTGTGGCTGATACCACTCGGGGGCTGGATTTTTCATTTTATGATAGCCCGAAGAGTTGAACTGGTGCCATGATGACGACAGTGGATTCCAGCGCAGCCTTGACTGTAAGGACGGCGCAGGTTGGGGCAAGGTTTGTCATTTGCAGAGTCACTACGAGTTGGAATCGACTCAGCTTGTACTTAACAGCGTGTGGCTAGCAGCTGTCTCACTGGCCAGAACAGCTCCAGACTCAAGACCCTTCTTCATTTCAGGACAGCAAACATTTGCTGAGCGCTGACTGCATACCAGACCCCTGCTTATTCTTCTCAGTCAACAGTGTATAACCAAGTGCCTTCTCTCTTTTCACCCATTTAATCCTCAGAGTAGCCTTATGAGGTAGGAATTATTACTAGCACTAGTTTATAGCTGAGGGCATGGGCTCAGAGAGGGGAAGCAATTTGACCAAACTCACAGAGTAAGTACGAACAGAGACTGGATTTGAACTCAGGTTGTTAGGGCTTCTAAACCTGTATCCTTGTCCTGGGCAGAAAATACCACTGCTCTGAATCTAGACCTGGAACTCCAGCACCAGCACTTTTCAAACTTTCCTGGCTGTGATCTAAATGAGAGATACGTTTTACTGGGTAGTGGTGGTTGTTGTTATGTGCCTTCAGTCACTTGGGACTCACAGCAACCGTATGTACAACAGGCCTGTACCCTGCTCTGTCCTGTGCCAATCTTATTGTCTCCAACACACCTATTCCCATTACCCCAGTCACTGAGTCAATCCATCTCACTGAGGGTTTTCCTCTCCCGCACTGTCCCTCCACCCTCCCAAGTATGACGATCCTGTCCAAGGACTAGTCCTGCCTTGCAACATGTCCAAAATATGTCAGACGGAGCTTCAGAATCCTTGACTCCAAGGAGCAGACTGGCTTCACCCTCTCTAGGATGAACTTGTTTGTTCTCCTAGAAGAACACGGTATATTCAATAGTTTTCTCCAGCACCACAGCTCAAAGGCATCAGTTCTCCTTCTATCATCCCTAGTCATTGTCCAGCTCTCTGACGCATAGCAAGTGATTGCAAAGACCATGGCTTTACTGGAAGACATTGGAAATATTTAACACCCAGTAAAATACTTAAGGATGCTGTGGGCAGAATGTTGAATGGCCTAGGAAGCATCAAAAGAAGAAGGAAGGAGTACACAGAGTCACTATACCAAAAAGAACTGGCAGACACAGAAGAATTTTGTGAAACCACATATGATCAAGAGCCAGTGCTGATAAAGGAAGTTCAATCTGCCCTGAAGGAACTGGCAATAAACAAAGCCCCAGGAATTGATGGCATATCAATTGACATATTTCAACAAACAGATGCTGCCCTGGACATGCTCACCAGGTTGCGCCAAGAAATCTGGAGGACAGCCACCTGGCCAACTGACTGGCAGAGATCCATATCTATTTCCATTCCAAAAAAAGGTGATCTAACAGAGTGTGGAAATTATTGAACAATATCACTAATATTGCATACAAACAAGATCCTTCTGAAAATTATCCAAAAATTACTAGAATCAGCAGAGAACTGCAGATGTGTGGTCTGGGTTTAGAAAAGGCAATGGCACTAGGTACATTATAGCCAATATTAGATGGATCTTAGCCGAAAGCAGTGAGTACCAGAGGAATGCTCATCTATATTTCATTGACTATGCAAAGGCATTTGACTGTGCAGATCACAATAAACTGTGGCTAACTTTGAGAGGAATGGGAATCCCAGAACACTTGATTGTGCTTATGAAAAACCTGTATTTGGACCAGGAGGCAGTCATGAACAGAGCAAGGAAACACTGCATGGTTCAAAATCAGGAAGGTATATGCCAGGGACGCATCCTCCATACCTTTTCAATCTGTATGAGGAACAGATCACACAGGAGGCTGGGCTCTATGAGGAGGAATATGACATCAGGATTGGAGGTAGACTCTTCAACAATCTGAGTTATGCGGATGAACAACCCTGCTTGCTGAAACTGAAGAGGACCTGAAGCATTTGCTGCAGAAGGTCAAGGAGTGCAGCCTTCAATATGGACTGAAGCTCAACATCAAGAAAACAAAGATTCTCACCACGGGGCCAATTGGCAGAATCATGATAAATGGAGAAGAGACTGAGATTGTTAACAGCTTCAGCTTGCTTGGCTCCACAATCAAGACTTTTGGTACCAGCAGCCAGGAAATCAAAAGATTAGTTACATTGGAAAAATCCATCATCAGGGACCTCTCCAGAGTACTGAAGAGCAATGATGTCCCTTTAGAGACCAAGGTGTGCTTGGTCCACGCCATGGTCTTTGCAACTACTTGCTATGCATCAGACAGCTGGACAACGGATAGAAAAAGAATTGATGCCTTTAAGCTGTGGTACTAGAGAAGAGTACTGAATATACCACAGACTGCTAAGAGAACAAACACGTGTGTTCCAGAGAGGATAAACTCAGGCTGCTCCTTGGAGGCAAGGATTTTGAAGGTCTGTCTCACATACTTTAGGAATCTTGCCAGGAGGGACCAGTCCTCGGAGAAGGACATCATGATTAGAAGGGTGAAGGGATAGCTCAAGAGAGCTCTGAATGAGATAGACTGACTCAGTGACTGGGGTAATGGAAGTAGGTGGGTCGGAGGCTATGAGATTGGTTCAAGACAAAGCAGGGTTCAGAGCTGCTGTATACAGGGTTGCTATGCAACTGAATGACACATAACAAGAATAACAACAAACACAAAAGGATTAAGGGAGCTCTGGTGGCCTACTGGTAAGAAACTGCACTGCAATCCTGAAGGCATGAGGTTTGAATCCACCAGATGCTCCAAGAGAGAAGGATGGGCAATCTCCTCCCATGCAATTAACTGCCTCTGAAAAACCCCTGAGGGTCAGCTATGGGTCACTTCCAACTTGATGGCACACAACAACAACAAAGCAAAGGCAAGGCACCCTGGTGGTGCAGCAGTTAAACTGCTTCACTGTTAACCAAAAAGTGTGAACTCAGTGTTGTTCCATGGGAGAAAGATGTGAGTTTGCATCCATAAAGATTACAGCTTTGGAAACAGTGGACCTAGTCCATTGTTTAGTGGAGCAATTTTAGTCTGTCCTACCCCAAGCCAACCCCCTGCCATTGAGCTGATGCCAACCTTCCACTGAGTTTCCAAAGATGTACATCTTAATGGGAACAACTGTCTCGTATTTCTCCAGTGTAGGGGATTTGAGATGCCAGTGTGTCAGTTAGTAGCCCGACAGGGACGGCCAGGCCACTAGGGCTCCCAGACCATGGTTTTTCAGACTCACCGCTGTGGGGTTTGATTGGAAGGCAAGGGCGCTGAACAATGAGAGCGAATCCCAGCCAGAGCTCTTCGACCAAATCCGAGAGAGCATCCCACCTGCCCTCATCGGCCACTCTGCCCAAGCTTCAGAATCACAAGTAACCGGGAGAAAAGAGAGGAGGGTCTTCAGTGGCCAGGGAGGTGACTGTTTACCAAGTAGTTTCCTAAGGATTTCAGTATTTTAATTCCCAGAAAAGTAGTAACAGGGAGCTCTGGTGGCCTAGTGGGTAAGGGGTTGTGCTGCCAACCCAGAGGCTGACAGTTTGAATGCATTAGCTACTCCACGGGAGAAAGGTGGGCAATGTTCTTTCTTGCAACTTACAGCCTCTGAAAACCCACTGGAGGGTCCTGTATGAGTTGGTTCTGACTTGATCACATATAACAACAAGAAAGCTGGAACGATGGCTACAGTGACTGAATTTTATATCATGACCAAGACACACACATAGTAAAAACAAAAGCTTCACACCTGGACTCTTGCCCTTCTGACACACCAAACACCCTGCTGTCTTCTATTCTAGTCTGTATTTCTTAACTGCTGGCCGAGATGCAGAAGAGGATCTCCTGCGGGGACCACTTCTCAGCACCTCCAGGCCTCTCACCTCAAGTACTGGCCAATGAGGGTCTCAGAGTCGGGTAGTGTCTCCGGCGGGGGCACGGTGGGCATGGAGAACTGGTGCTGCACGGGGCTGGGCTGGGTCTGCTGGAAGGAGGCCTGGAAGATGAAGATGGGCTTGCCATGCTGCACTGCCTTCACAGAGCGGACTGAGAAACTCGCCCCCGTTCGCGTCCGCTCCACCTGGTACAGGACTGGCACCTTCGGGTCTCCTGCAAGGGACACAAGGGACACGCCACCAGCGTGTGGTCAGCACAAAGGTCTGGGGCAACTCTGCCACTCATCCTCCTCTTTCTCTTTTCAGGACTGAGCCCAGGTGCTGGGGCTGCAGAGCTGAACCTAACACGGAAACGCTCTCAGGGTGGGTGGAGAGCACCTCCTGTCAACGGCACAGAATGCTTGAACATGGCTAGATTTCCTGCACTCAGACCCTGGTCCTGCCATTCACCAGCTGTGTGACCTTAGAAAAGTCACTTAACCTCTCTGAGCACTCAACAGATCTGCAAAATGGGCTTCCCATTATGCTCAGATATCATGGAAATTTTTTAAAATTTATTATTAATTTCAATGAAAATTTACAGAGACTTTGGATTTCCATCCATTCATTGTTGCACTTTTCTCCCCTTCCAACCCTCCCCCTCCCCAGAACACTCCCCTCTGGGGAAAGTAAAAGAAAAATTCTTTCATCGTTTTACAAGCCCTCCCCCTAGGTCCACTCCACTATGCAGCCTTCACTCTGGACTCCTGTCATGACAAAAATACCTAATCAAATACCCCTTTTAAGCAGTTTTCTCCCTCATCTGTTTCAATGCAGTATACATTATTGAACCCATCTTTCTCAGTCTCTCCTCAACCCCAAGGTCAGTCCTGTTTTACAACAGTGGTACTATGCAGTATTTGTCCTTTTGTGACTGAGATACTTCACTCAGTATAATGTCCTCCAGGGTCACCATTTGAATAAAATTGCATGAGTTCCTTGTTTTCCAACGCAATGTAGTATTCCATTGTGTGAATATACCACAACTTCTCTATCCATTCATTTGATGATGGGCACTTAGATTGTTTCCAACTCCTTGCTTTCATGAACAAAGCTGCAATAAACATGGGTGTGCATATATCTGCTTGGGTGTCAGTTATGGTCTTTTGGGGTACATTCCCAGTAGCGGAATTGCTGGGTCAAATGGTTATCTCTATTTGCAACTTTTTGAGAAAGCGCCACAACGCCTTCCACGGTGGTTGCTCCATTTTACACTCCCACCAACAGTGAATAAGGGTTCCAGTTTCTCCACAACCTCGCCAGCATTTGTTGTTTGCTATTCTGTTAAATTTTGCTGTTCTTACTAGGGTGAGATGATATCTCATAGTTGTTTTGATATCATGGGATTTTTATGAGATGGAAAGGTGCTCTGGGGGTATAGTCCACAGGGGGTGGTGCTGCTGACTCAAAGGGGGCATGTCTCTGGTGGTTCGAATCCACCAGCTGCTCCGAAGGAGAAAGATGGGCAAGCTCTTCTTGGGCAACTTAGAGCCTCTGAAAATGTGCTGGGAGGGTCAGACGCTTTGAGTAAGCACCAACTTACAGGCAATGAGTTTTTGCAAGAGAAATGAGCTTGTGGTTATGTTTAGAATATACTATCTGGCACATAACCAGTCCATGTTTGATAAACAAATCCTCTTATCCCGAGGGAGCTCTGGTGGCCTAGTGGCAAGAAGCTGCACTACAATCCCAGAGGCACAAAGTTCAAATCCACCAGATGCTCTGCTGGAGGATGGGCAATCTCCTCCTGTACCAGTCAGATCGATGTGATGGTAAAAATAAAAAGATAAATAAAATGGAATGGAATGGAATGACGGTAAAAAATAAAAAATATATAAAAGGAAATAGAATAGAATAGAATTAAAATAAATTTTTTTTTTTTTAAAAAAAGAAATCCTCTTACCCCATATCCTGCCTGGAGTGAGGCCATCCATAACTGTGCAATCAATTCTTTCAATCAGGGCTCAGCAAACTTGGCTTGTGGGCCAATCCCAGCCTGCCAACTGTTTTGGTAAATAAAGTCTCTGGGACACAGTTGCAATCATTTGTTGGAGACTCAATCGTCTCTGTTTCTAAAAGCCATACAACAGAGTTCTGTAGTCACAAAAATTAAAACCCACCACCACTAAGGCCAAACCCACTGGTACTGGGTCAATTCCTGCTGGTACCGAGCCCGGAGGGCAGAGGAGAACTACCTATGGGGTCTCCAAGACTCTCCGTTGTTAGGAAGCAGGCTGTCCCAACTGACGCCCACACAGAAGCTAAGGGTTCAGACCACTGACCTTTTGGCTTGCAGCCAGCACTTTAATCACAGCATGAAAAAATACCTACAAACCTAAAGGATTCACCACCTGATCCTTCACAGGGAAAAGGTGAGCTGACTCTTGCTCTGGGTTCTCCAAGCTCTAAACCTGGCACACTGCCTCGTACAACGTTTCTTTTACCTCACTAAAAACCACGGCATGGGCGAGCTCTGGTGGTCTAGTGGCAGGAAACTGCACTGCAATCCCAGAGGTGCGCGGTTCAAATCCACCAGATGCTCTGCTGAAGGAGGAGGAACCTAATTTGACGGTACACACACACACACACACACACACACACACATAAATAAATAAAAATTTAAAAAAAAACAAAACCCGGCATGGAGTATGGTGTTCTGAGCTTTCAGAGCTGATCATGTAAACGGCAAAACATTGCCCGCCCCAACACTTTTTACAGGACAAAAAGAAAGTATCCTTTTGAAACAGTCTTAGTGGCTCTGTCTTCTTTATGAAATATGTGGTAGAAGTCCATCATTTAAAAAAAAAAGCGAACCAGAACTTCCCTTTTTGCCCTGCTGCCAGGAGCTGAGAACGAAATGATGTGAGAAACTACCACAATATGCCTTAACCTGCTGAGTGAACTCAGTCTCACAGAGACAAATACTGCATGAGACAATTATTATAGAAGAATAGCTAGTAAGATGTGTGCAAAAGGCCAAAGGGGGGAAGGGAGGCGGTGGGGAAAGCACCAGGTCCCAGGTCGCAGGGTTTGCTGGGTGGAAGGAGTGGGTGAAGGATTAGGAAAGATCTTAATGGGGACCTGAAAAGATAGGGTAACAGTGGGCAGAGATCAATGGTGATTAGTTTCATAAAACACTTCACCTCTGCCTTGCATGTGGACTTCTGAGTTGTAAAACAACCCAGTGGTAGATGGAATTTGCTCCAGGACTTAAGAACAGTAAATGACATAGCTGAGCCTCTACATCTTGAGGTTCCTAACCTCTACACTATAATAGACAAAGTGCTACTCAGTAGGCCTTTTATTATAAGAACCCCCTTCCCTCTGTAACTTGATTTGTGCCACTATTAGAACCTCTACTCGGAATATTATTGCTTTTTAATTTTTGACTCATGCACTTTTAACTTGCTAGTTAAATTTGTATCTTCTAGGCTGCAACACTTCCATGATACATCTTCAAGGATATGAACATGTAAGGCTAAGCACAATTGATAACAGTGCATCTAAATTTCAAAATCAATCTCCATAATAGTCTATGTGTTTCCTACTGCCAAAGGGGCCCTTTAGAGTAGTGAGAGAAGATCTTCACCCTGAAACCTACAGCGTCCCTTTTCAGCAGGAAGTAGCTAAGGGAATATACCATCCCCTTTTCCTTATGAATCAGGGTGAAGTCTCTCTTAGGGAATGGCAAAGGACACAATGACAAAGGAGATTAATCAGAAATGGCTTTGACAAGCACTGTGGCAATTGGACAATTAAAACAGACATTCAAGGGGGTGGAAAGAAGAACGAACTGGGGATGAGGGTGGAGAAAACAGTGCAACAATGAATGAATGAAAACCCGAAATCTCTGTAAATGTTCATTAAAACTAATAAAATAGGGGAGCTCTGGTGGCCTAGCGGCAAGAAGGTGCACTGCAATCCCAGAGGAACAAGGTTCGAATCCACCAGATGCTCTGCCAGAGAAGGAGGCACAATCTCCTCCTGTACCAGTCAGATCTGATTTGACAGTACACGCACACAAAATAATACAAAATAAAATTTAAAAAATTGAAAAAAAAAGTTTCACCTTAAAAAAACCCTAATAAAATAAAAATTTAAAAAAACAACATCATAATCTATGATAATCTTAGGAGAACAAACAGGTTCGTTCTGAAACTCTGTCTGATATGCTCTGGGCATGTTGCAAGGAGGGACCAGTCCTTGGAGAGGGACGTCATGGTTGGGAGGGTGGAGGGACAACGCAGGAGGGGAAGGCCCTCGATGAGATGGATTGATTCAGTGACTGGGGTAATGGGAATGGGAGTGTCAGAGACAATAAGGCTGGCTCAGAGCAGGGTTTAGAGCTGTTGTACATGGAGTCACTATGAGATGCAGACGACTTGATGGCACGTAACAACATGAGATGATTATACGAAACAATATGAATAAGGAATGTGTGAAACACAATGTACATGAATTTTGTATGCATGCCAATATAAAATAGATTTTTAAAAGTATAAATCAGAAAAGTGAACAACGGTTGGAAACCCTAAGTCTCTGTAAACTTTCATTAAAGTTAATAAAAAAATCATAACTCAGTTTTTTTAAAAAGTAATCTACCCCATGACTATGCCTATACAAGCCTGGTCTCCTGTGGCTTTTGACTGTCTATTGATTGTTGTCAATGATCTTGCAATATTTTGCATTGTTTCTAGGATAAGGTAGGGAAGACACCACCAGTGATTAACTGACAAGGAACTGATATCAGTCTGGAAATGGTACAAGGAAGAGGATCCTTCCCCTCAGACCTGGACCAGGACCCCTAACAGCTCTCCAGAGGTTTGGAATTATCTTCACAAGTAAAAAGAGAAAGGGATACATGGAGAGAAGAGTGTGGAGCTGGAAGCACGGAAACTTGGGTTCAAATCTTGGTTCTGCCTTTTTTGAGCGGCTGTGGAAGCTGTTTCCAAACTTCTTCACGTCCTTGGGTTCCTTACCCATAAAGTGGTGACAGGAGTGCCCATTCTCATGTTTAAGTGGACTAAAGCAAGATAATGTACCCAACTGTGCTTTGTGCCAGGCAAGTTTTCCCCATAAATTCATCATCCAAAAAAATCAGCACCTAAGACGCAACAGACTGTACTAGAGGCATTCATTGCATAGGCTTCAAAATCCTCCATCATTGAATGCAAACACACGTTTGGGGAGACTAAGTAATGCATTTACCTCTACAAAACCAAGCCAAACCAACAATCAGGGTTTTTTTTCCAAGTATGGGGGATATCAACAGCAAAAGGTTGGAATCTGTGAAGCTTACAACCAGATCGAAGGCATAAAATATACATTTGTTCGCAATTAGCACAAAGGAAGGAACCCAGGATGCTAAGTATTCAGATACTTTATGGTAATGAGGTCAAGGTGGACAGGCAATAAAGAGATGAAAGTGAAGAACATGGTGACATAGCGATAAAAACAGATTCCTTGTTGTAACTACTTTTTCATTTGTAAAATAAATAAAACACTTCCCTATTGTTTGCTGAATAGAAATCACATAATAGAGAGTGAAACAAAGTCTTCTCAGTGGGTTTGCTGAAGAAGACAAGGACTTCCATTTTGGAAAGGAAAAGGACTTTCTAAATTGGGGAAATCCAATTGAGATTTTGTTTGTTGGTTGGTTTCGCAAAAGTGAGTGTGGGTTTTAAAAGAGCACCTTTGCTCCTTTGTTGAGCCGAGCATAAACCAACTTCAGAGTCTATCATCCACTAAAAGCTCTCTGCTCCCAGGCTGGAGTTTTGTCCACGCCAGGCTGCCTACCTCCAGTCCCTTAGCAGAGGTTCTAGCAGATTCGAGGATCTAGCACAGTGCACACACCAGCAGGCAGCACACATTAACAAGTCTCGTGTCATGATGGGCCAGAGGACAAGTTAACAGTGAACTTCAGCAAGTGTAAAGTCCAAGGTCTTGGCTGGCTCAAGGCTTTGTTCTTCTCTTGGCTCCCCTGAGACTAAAATCCCGTCTCCATTTTTCTCTTCTCTTCTGTCAGCAACCCCAAAGCCGAGGGAAATGGCTCCTAAGGTCCCCTTCTCTCCCTCTTTCTCCTCTGTCAACCTTCCAAGGCCAAGAGGAAATGGCTGCTGGCCCCCAGGACTGTGCGGGGGTATGGAGGGGGTGTTTTACCTGCCCGGACAAAGTAGCAGTGCAGGGAGTGAACGTGGACGTCTTCGCTCACAGACTTGGCTGCAGCCACCAAGGCCTGACCCACGATCTGACCCCCAAACAGCCGCTGAGTGGTGGGTACCCAGTAATGCCTTCCTCTGTGGGAAGAGAGGGAAAGTGGAAGAGACTTGGGAGGTGAGGGTAAATCCTCAAGTCCAAATAAACTTCTAGTGTGGAGTCTTTTAACTTTATTGGGGTTTAGGATCCTTTTGAGAAACTGATAAAAGCCTTAAACCCTCTCCCAAGCATCACTTACGCCTCACTCTTTAGCTTCATGACCACCCAAAGCCTGTCTGTGGATTTGATTAAAGATAACAATCCAAGTCACTTCACATTAAGAGAATGAGGATCAGAGAGGGCAAATGACTTGATCAAGGTCACACAGCTTAAACACTGCAAACCTGGACAGTGCTGGTGTCTTTTGAGCTCCCAAACCCCATGTTTCTCCCACTACCCTCTAAAGGACTAAGATGAACCTTAAGAGCGGAGCTTAGAGTCATGGGGTCATTCCTTTTCCACCCCTCATCTCCAGGGTCTCCCATTGCAAAGTACTTTCTCTAATAAACCTTTATTGAGCCTGGGTAGATTGCATTCAGGTTTGTCTCTATACTCCTCACGCAATGAAGCCTTACTGGTAAGCAACTGCACTGCAAACCCACAGGTGTGTGGTTTGAGTCTACAACCTGCTCCGTGACAGAAAGATGGGCAATCTCCCAGCGGGACTAGCTCTTTGGCCTCCATTGCCCAGCATCAATTTAGCATTTCCAAAGCAGAGTATTACAAATAACCCCCCAGGGAGTTATTTGCAAGCTCAGGGAGAGATGGTGCGGAGGAGGGCTCTGGTGGGCACAGTGGTTAACAGTACCTGGAAGCCAGCCAAAAGGTTGGCTCCAGCTGTTGGTCTAAGAAAAAGATGTGGCAGTCCATTTTTGTAAAGATGGGAACCTAGAAACCCCCCCTGGGGACAGTTCTGTCCTATCTTCTAGGGTCATTATGAATTGAAACCAGATTCTGGCAGTGGGTTTCCTTGGGGAGACAGTTTGGTAAGTGTAGGCAAGGGAGGTTAACTTGAAAGATAACCTCAAAAGGCAGAAGGAGCTTTGCAGGTGGAGTAATTACAACCCTAGCTGCAGGCAAGAGCTTTAAGTGGCATTGAAGGAAAGAGGCAACCGGTTCTAAAGTGCCGTGAGAAACATAAAGGAAAGGAAAAAAGAGTGTAAGAAACAGTGGGAGAAATGCAAACAGCTGCAGACTAACGGCCCCGAAATGTTCTTTCTTAAAAAAATATAGAACGCTTCACAAATTTGCCTGTCATCGTTGTGTAAGGCCCATGATAACGTATTTGGATCGTTCCAATTTTAGTGTATGTACTGTCAAAGCGAGCACGGGTCTCTCTAAAATTTTAAGCCTGATACTCTTGTTTCTCTTCAGATCGAATAAATCTTTCGCCTTTTACTAAAGAAAAAAAAAATTTAAGCCTGATCAAACTGAGCAAATTCCCACCCTTTGTGGGCTGGCTCCCCTAGGACATGTCCCCTCAAGGCTGACAGCTGTCAGGCCACCACTTCAATCGGTCCAGATCGTCAGACCTCCTTATGAATGGCGCTCCGCGGTCCCGGCGCCGTGCGCGGGAGGAAGCTGGGCAGTGCGGACAGGGCTCTGGGGAGGACAAACTCTCTCTCGATCACAGCAGAGCCAGCCCAGAGTTGGGGATACCGGGTGGCGGCGCCCGCAATCAGGAGCCTCTGTCCCAAGGTGGGGGCGTGGGCCAGGTGCGGCCAGCTACCTGAAGAGGTCCTCATCCAGCGGCTCGAGGCTGAGCACGCTGGTGACTAGCACGCTGCGCAAGTCCCCGGGGGTACGGTCGCCGTCCTGCTTGTCCTCTGGAGCCTGTAGGAAAGGCATCTTGCTCGTTTGCTGTCGGAACTGGACACTGCACTGGGCGGGGCACGCGGAAACCCAGCTGGAGCCCGCAGCTTCCGGCAAATTGTCCTAGTAACAGGATGTGTCCTGCAGGACGGTGGGAAGGTGAGAGCCCAACGATGATTGGTTGGAGGGCCCGTCAGTCTTCCAGTAGATATGGCGGCAGCTCTCTGCCTATTGGATAAAACGAGTGCCCGTCCAAAAATGCTGTGTGTGATTGGATAGGACTTCAGGGGGCGGAGCCTCGGGCCTCATCAATAATAAGGGCTGAGCATGAATTTCCCGGTCACCTAGTCAGGAGGACCCTCACCCTCGTAACTCTGTAAAGCATTGACCTGTTCACAGTCTCCCTTCCATCATCAGCCACTCAAGTGGAGCCAACTTGTAAAGGCTCTGGGCCTAGACCACCCTGTAGATCCTCATAGTGACCTTTGACCCCTGGTGTGCGAATTGAGGGGGCAGCCATGGAGCTGGGCAGCTGCTTCAAGACCTACGACGACTTCCTTGAATGTTTCAGCGCTTACAAAAAGGAGAACCGATGTTCCTTCATTATCAGAGACAGCATCTCCGTCTACTTCCACAACCTCCACCATGGCACCTCCGTCCGTGAGGACATCTTGTAAGGGCGGGTCAGGGCGGGGTGGGACAGGAGGATGGGGAGCAGGGCGCTGAGCCCTCAGGTGGGCGGCCTGGAGGAGGAGGGCGTGCTGTAGGGTCCATGTCTCAGACTCAACCAGCTGGCACTTAGGGAGCATCTGCTGTGTGTGCTTTGTGGAAATGGGGCAGAACTTCCATAGATACCGCTTAGTGGCCACTCACTCCACCTTCGGGGAGCGCTGGCGGAGTAGCCCTTAGGGAGCTGCACTGCTAGCCCACTGTGGTGGTTCGAATCCACCAGCCGCTCTGGTCTGCAGGAGCTTGATGGGTAAATCTCCTCCTCTGCGATTTACAGGCTCAGAAACCTTCGGAGGGCCAGTTATGAGTGGGTTCTGATTTGACAGCAATGCGTTTGGGTTTTTATTTCACCTTCACTCACTAGTTCCTTTATTCCACAAGCTTTTCTGGAATATCTAACTGGAATGTGCCCCACATTTGGGAACACATGCAGTATTCCAGACACAAAATATGCTCTAAAGAAATGGTTTTAAAGACGCTTTAGTGATTTGCTTTTCACAGAACAGTGACAGGTCAATCGCTGACCAGTTCGTTCATTCATTCATTCATTCATTCATTCTATAAAGGGTTCTTGAGCTCCTAATCATGGAGCTCTGGTGGCCTAGAGCTAAGAAGCTACACTGCAGTTCCAAAGACCTGCAGTTGGCATGAGATTAACTGCCTCTGAAAACCCACTAGTGAGTCAGTTAAAAGTCGGTTCTGACTTAGTGACACACAACAACAGTGACAGGTCACTCAGTGGTCAGTTCATTCATTCATTCATTTTACAAAGGAATCTTAGGCTCCTAATATTAGCAACCATTTTTCAAACAATTGAGATGTGCTCCAAGCAGCATTTGGATTAAATGTCACTGTTTGCATTTAGCAGATAAGAAAATAAGCTTAAAGACACGCAAATGAAAAAAAAAATTAAAAAAAAAAGACACGCAGATGTCATCAAGGCTCAGGCGAAACCTCCCAGTGTAAGAAAGTGTAGCGTAACTTTATTTTACTATAAGCATAAAAATGGTGAAATAACACCACCAAGACATCCGTGCTAGGAACACAGAGAGAAGAATGACTTGAAACAGACTGGAGAGCAGGTCCCCTCTAATCAGCTCCAGCCGATTGCCACCATGTGAAGCAGAAAGGTCCAGTGCTGTCACAATCTTAGGCAAGAAGAATCAGAAACCCAGGCTTTTGTGTGAATTTGTCTAGTTCTTGAGAATTTGGAAGTCGATTTCAATTGTAGCATGCAGGGCAGCTCGGGTGGCCTAGTGGCAAGAAACTGAACTGCATTCTCAGAAGCATGTGGTTCAAATCCACCAGATGCTCTGCTGGAGAAAGAGGGGTAATCTCTTCCTGCACCGGACACGTCTGATTTGAGGACACGTCTGATTTGATGGTACACACACACACAAAATAGTAAAATAAAATAATTGTAGCATGGACCCTTTGAATCAACTCTTGAGCATCAGAAGAAGGGTATCTGAAGGATACCAGTTTGGAGATCCCTAGGTTGAGATGTTTTACAAACCTCCACAGCTAGAGAGTCAGGCTGTACTCTCTCCACTACTCAGAAGTGTAGTGTTGTATTGGATACAGTTGAAGTTGTTAAATACCATCAAGTTGGAACCAACTCATTGTTGACCGTCCCCAGCTGGTTTCAGAGGCTGTAAATTGAAAGGGAGGAAACTGCCCGTCTTTCTCCTGCAGAGCACCTGGTGGATTCCACCTACCTACCTTTGAATTGGCAATGCGATTCCTTAGACTAGGCCATCAGGATATCTCACGGACTGCTAAAAGGACAAACAGGTATGTCTTGGAGAACGTACAGCCAGAGAGTACCACTTGGGATTACAGCACAGCCTCTTAAACCACTAGCCCACCAGAGTTTCCTTCAGAGAAGGAAGCAAGCTTCCACTTGGAAGCAAAGATGGCAAAGCTGGATCTCACATACGTTGCACATGTTGTTAGGAGAGGCTATTTCTTGGAGAGGGATATCATGCTTGGAAAGGCAGACAGCAAAAAAGAGGCAGATGCCTAACCAGATGGATTGATGCAGTGTCTGCAGGAATTGGATCAAGTATGTCTGAAATAAAGACAATGGCACAGAATAGGACAGGGTTCAGATACCTTTTGTTCATTGGTCAGCAATGTCATGCTTGACTCAACAGCACCTAACAACAACAACAGGCCTTTAGAACTCCCTACAGATGAAATAAAAATTATTCAAAAATCCAGCCTATAATGACGGGCAAGTTCCAGTGGTGATTCATTTTTATAAAACATAATGCAGGAGCTCTGGTAGCCTAGTGGCAAGAAGGTCTGCTGCAATCCCAAAGGCACAGGGTTCAAGTCCACCAGATGCTCTGCTGGAGAAGGAGGGGCATTCTCCTCCTGTACCAATTAGATTGGATTTGATGGTACACAAGAAAAGAAAAAAAAAAAACCAACCCAGATCACACACACAAAAACATAATGCATGAGAATGATTGTGTGATACACAATGTGAATGAAGAATAGTGTGAAACACAATGTATATGAACTTTGGAAGCAAACCAATAAACAACAACAAAAAAAATCCCACCTATCCTCCAAGAGCTTAAGGTGTAATAGACTTGGACTCAGGTATGTGAATGGTTTACAAGGATCTTACGGTTGAGGAATTAACATGCCTAGGTGGTAGGAAAAGGCTTCACTCTGCAAATAGTGGTTTCTCTGGGCAGTGAATGCGTGCAGAGGCTAGAATAGGATGGGTTAGTGCCAAAGGTTTCCCCCAACTATTAATCTAAAGGTCGGTGGTTCAGATTTACCCGGCAGCACTGCATAGGGAAGTCCCTGGCAATCAGCTAAAGATGGCAGGAAAGAAATTTCTGTGAGGAAGTTCTGCTCTGAGACACATGAGGTCACTGTTGGTTGGAACCGACCTATCAAAGGCAATGGATTTTTTGTAATTAGAGTGGAAACTCAGTGGTGTGTATTATTGAGTAGCAAGGAGGGGTTTGATCAGAGGAAGGAAGTGCCCTGGGAACAAAGGCACATTTAAGTGTGAGAAGGTAACACGGTTGGGAAAATGGAAGTGAGATCAGCTGGGATCTTCCTAGAAATCTAGGTATTACGGTAATATGTGTGGATTTTCTCCTGTGCACGTAACATTCTGCCATAAAACGAGAAGAATGCAAAGGTACCCAGCTCAGCCCCTTCACATCAAGTGAGGCGTTCTGGTCATCGTCAGGATGAAGTCCAAGATCCATAATCTGACTCATCAGGTTTTCTAAGCCTTCTGACATTCCCATCCATCATCCACATAGGACCTTTTCCACACAAGGCCACAGCTTACTGATTCCAGTGCTTATCATATCCTCGGGCTGGGGTGGCTTGCCTCACCCATCCACGTAGCTTCACTCACTTCTCATATGTCAGGCTCTGTGTGTGTCGTCATCTCAGCTCATGCTAAATCCTGTTGTACAATTGACTTAACATTTACCTTTAAACGCACCCAGTTTTAAAATTAAAAGAAACCTACTTTAGACCCAATATCAAGTGGCAGTGTAGTTGGGAGGGCCGGGGAAATTCTAGAATCAGATTGACTTACTCCATGAAAACGCAGAGTGTTAATATGAAATGAATGTTAAGTGTTTCTAAATGAGTGTTAAAACATCCATTTTGATGCAAACAGAGGTCATTTTGGACCCCTGGAGGGACATTCTGCCTTAGCTAATTGTTCCTTTGTCTTTCATCTCTGTGTTCTTCCAGGAAGTCTTAATTTCCCAAGTGTAGGTTTGATGTTCCTTCAGTGTTCCAGAAACATCCGTTATAATTCTTCACATATTGCTTCACAATAGGGTTCCCAGAGCTTTCCTGTGTTGGGAGGGATCCTGGTTCATGGGTGTATCCCCGGGGTCTTGCACAGGGTTTGGCCCATAACAAGTAGTAAGTCATTTTTTATTGAATGAATGCTTCATCAAGTGCTAAATACAGGCATAATTTATTTTATTGTACTTTGCTTTAATTGCATTTTGACAGTACTGCATTGTGTTTACAGATTGATAGTTTGTGACAACCTTATATCCAACAAGTCTACTGATGCCATTTTGCTAACAATATGAGTTCCCTTCAGACCTATGTGTCACCTGTTGGTAGTTCTCACAGTATTTGAAAATTTTTTCATAATACTACTGTTCACTTCCTATGAACTTGGAGAAACGATGAAAGTTATATACAAGTGTTCAGGTCTTTGGTTCATAGGGTTGCTATGAGTCGCCTGTGACTCGACGGCACTTAACAACAACACTGCCCACTTAGTAGACTGCTGTTGTTGTTGTTGTTGTTGTTGTATACCGTCAAGTTGAAACCAATTCATGGCTAACTCTCCAGCAGGTTTTCAAAGGCAGCAAATCACACGGGAGGAGAGTGCCCATCTTTCACCCACAAAGCAGCTGGTGGATTTGAACCATGTACCTTTGAATTGACAGCACAATTCCTTACCGCTAAGTCATCAGAGCCTCCCTCAGTAGACAATACTATAGTGTTAACATGATTTTTGTAAGCATTGGGAAACCAGAAAATTCATGTGAGTTATTTATTGTGGTTGTTAATTTATTGTAGTGGTTTTAGAACCAAGCTTGCACTATCTCGAAGGTACGTCTTTATATGATTTGGGGAAATAGATGCTGTAGGAAATAAGAAAAGAAAGTCATAAGGGGAGCTCTGGTGGCCTAGTGGCAAGAAGCTGTACTGCAATCCCAGAGGTACATGGTTCAAATCCACCAGATGCTCTGCCAGAGAAGGAGGAACAATTTCCTCCTGTACCAGTCAGATCTGATTTGA